CTTAGCCTGGTTGCCTGGGCAGCGGTCATTTCGGCCTCCAAGCTCCCGAGGACGCGAGCGATGAGACGACCCTCCCAGGTCTCAAAACGTGACAACATGTTCGTTTTGCTCGGCAGGCGTCGCCGCCGTTAAGATGCGAAGGGCATCGTGTCCAAAGATGCCTCACATCCTTCGAACAGACTCGTACTGTGAGTCGTTCGAGTGAGGAAACTCACTATGGTCCATCGCGCCTCAGACTAAGATCACACAGAGGATTAAGGTAGTTCAATCTATCCGCGAAGGCGTTGGATTGACTACGAGTGCTACCAAGTGTGACGGGGTCACGCAGCGCTTTGTACAGAGGAAGTACTTAAGGGTATTTACTACCCGAGTGAACGTTAGTCCACATGTTCCTGGCCACGGGGAACGGTATGAACGGTAAAACGGTATTAGAAGAGTAGATGTAAGGCTGATACATTTATAAGTAAGCTTAGCTTGGGTTCTATAAACACTTTAGATTACCTTCAGTGGTGCTATGTAGTTATGCCCTGACTGGCTCCTAGAGCACCGAAAACCGTGTACCACGTTGATACAAGAGTGACGGTCACTCTTTATGTAACCTGAAGTACACTGGATTGTACCCCGTTACAAGCGCGAGCACGAGCGCCGCCGCTACCGCATGCAGAGACGTCGTCGCTCGAAGAGATGAAGCAAGACATCTGAATGGGTACAAAATATTTCATCTGTACATTGTATAACATATTGAGGGACTTCCAAAAATATCCTTTACACTGTACCAAACACAAATATAGGCATGGTTTAATACCCCATTTGGTACGAATATAGGTTCGACTTGGTCCTGCGATGGCCACCAAAAAAAATATTTTTGGTGTTGTCACTCAAAAATATAAAACTGAATCGTCTTCGTAAAAACCCACGTGGGAGAACTTGCAACATGCGCTGCCGCCGTCTCGAAGTCAAGCTAATTACGCTCATATCCGTCGACGAGCAGCACCAGTCACTGCGGCGTCAAGCTCTACGGAAGCGATTAGCCTGTTTGCTGCGCCTTCGTATGCTGGTCCGTGTACGCAACTACCTAACGACCGCATCGTTGATGTCAAACGTGTGCTGTGTATGGACATATATGTACAAGTCGCGGTGCGAGAAGTCGTTTATTAACACGGTGTCGTTTGACCCAGACACATATGACTTGTTGCTACAGGCATTTAGCCGGCACTACATCGTGCGATCGGGACCCTCTCGACGTGGTCGGCCACGTCGGTTTGTTTCAAAGAATAATGTTTTTGCCTGCGTGCTTCATCTGTATACTGCTGCCGTGGAACTCAAAACGTTGTGCGAGCTTTTCGGCGTTCCTCCTTCCACGATGAGCAGAACACTAAAAGAGGCTGAAATTTCACTAATGGCAGCGCTCAAAGAGATACCAGAAGCCGCGGTGAGGTGGCCATCGTTTGGTTTACAGTGTGATTGGTCGGATAAAGTTTCACGGAAAGAAGGTCTTATTAAGGGGTGCTTCTGCGTTGCTGACGGAAAACATTATGCAGTACTGGCTCCGACTAATAGCGACTTGCCGAACGCATACTATAATGGTAGGAAAAAGTGATTTTCTGCTATATTATAGATTTTATAACTTCTGTTTTGTTGTCTAGGCTGGCTACACAGTGTTAAAGTGACTGGCGTTCTGTGCTATGGACATTGATATGGGGTAAACATAATTTTCCAGGATCCTTGAATGATGGAGAAATGAGCCGCCAACTTCAACGTCTGTTGGCTGACCCCAAACTAATAATGGTTAGTGTTTGCTGTGCAACGGATTCCGCCTTTCCTGTCAGCGAATCGTGCAGAATGAAAATTATCACGCCTCTCAAGGATGGCGATCTTGAGCGTGCCAGTCCTGAGTGCAGAGCAGGATTGCTTGCAATGAGCGCATACATTACATCGATAAGGCAGGCGGCTGAATTGGGCATGGGCTGTGCATCTAAGTGCTACCGACGTTTGCTTGTGCCACTTCCATATAGCCCAGACTATCGCGCCAGACTTCTATAGGATATCTATCACCATTACAATTTACGCGTGCGTACCACTGGTATTAGCCAGATTCGAAGTGTGTTTGAAAAATAAAAGTATTAAGAGAAATATCTGTTTCAGTTGCATAATATCATTTGAATAAAAATGGTCTTTTGTTCTTTCAGTGCGTCCATTAGGATTTAGTTTTGAGGCTTGAATTGTATATCGATTTACTAACGTGCATGTCATGTATTCCTCCCTAATCAGCCGTCCCATCACTTTGTGTATCGTTGTTTGTTTGGTTTCCCTGGCCCGCGGGGTTGTGGATACGGCTAACGAGCTGAGTCATGAGCATCATCATCATTTGTTGGCTTGCTGACTCGCGTTCGTCTCGCTGGCGCTGATATCTCTCTCGTTATTGCCTATATTGAGCATCACGAGCCTTATGTCGTTCCTCCATCGCCATAAACATGGCTACGACATTATTCATATGGATCGTCGCGCTTTTTCCGCTCTGATACTGCTTTCAGCATTGTCGATTAGCTGGTCTATCTTAATACGACGACGCGCAGTTTGGCTGAGGGACACAGTGTCAGTTGACGATGCCCGTCTTTTTCCAAGTGTTTTTGAAAGCTCTGCCAGTTCCGAAGGCTCGAGTCCCAGCTCGCGCCGTAGCCTGTAACGGAGTTGGCGCTGCAGATTGTGTCACGTTTGTTTGAGGTGATTGCATACTAGCCGACGAAATGAAGCTATCCGAAAATGATGCTGCAACAGTAGTGGATACATCCTCATCCGTAGACGGCGCATTTGTAGAGTCAACCCACTGTAGCTCGTCTTGGCGATCAAGTCGTAGCGTTCTAGATAGACCCCCGTCATCCGTGGTCTCTGTGTCGTCGTGGATATCTACAACAGCAATTGAGGCGTCAATCGCGTATTGCAGACGTTTGATTCGCTGCACCTCTGCAGGACATGCACCATTACCTGTATAGTTAATTTTAGCGGTTTAACAGTTAAATGTCAGGAGTATAGTAAATTACTCGTACCCGTCGGCTTTGGAACACGAACTAGTTTTCGATACTTTCGCTTTAAGCTCTCTCCGTCTCTTTCAGTCCATCCAGCAGGGATGTTTGTGTTAAAAAGCGAAGCCACGTTCTGCCACTGCTCAGCACCAAAAGGAAGAATATCCTCAACTATGTCCAGTAGTCCTGTAAACATATAGGTGGGTTAGCCTAGAACCCATTATTAACGAAACTAATGAAATTAACCTACGCATCACTTCGGACTTGGGGCTACGTACCCCGTTACACGGCGCCTCCTCGGAACATCACGTGGTGAAGTTCTTGCCCTTAGTCTTGCCCTTTGCCATTGTGGACGATGCAGTGCGGTCCTGATGGCAAAATGTCGAGTAACCGTTCGTGAGAAAGCCCCTGCTTGCAAACCCATGAATAGATTGTAGCGACGACCTCGCACAGAGCTGAAGCTAAACCTGTCTAATCAGATAGTCTTTTTGGTACTGAGCACCGTATTAAGTACGTTAGTTGGTGAGACGCCTTTTGCGTCTTACCATGGATTGGTACAAGTTTGGTTCACAGATAGTACGTCACATGGGAGAGATTTGGTCCTAAGCTATAGGCGATTTTTGGTAGTCCCTCATTGTTACTTTTAATTTTTTGCGTTAGTTACTTATGGTACTCAATAAAAACTAATTAATTGCGAAATAAGCTTCAAACTCAACTATAAAGAAGAAGTACGAGGACAGATGTGTAGGCTCCCTGCTAGATGGCTACTCTTCAGCTCAGCAATTTCAGCAAATTTGTGATTGTTTTCTCTCACTGGATGATCTACGAGGTCGAGCTGCGTTTTTACTTTCACATTTTGGCCGATTACGTGGAGAAAATGTGCGCGATTTGTAATTCGCAGACATACTCTCTCAAAACCTTGATGGAGAGGGATTTCAACCATGCACAGCACTTGTGTTGTTAATCCAGCACAGAAAAACAAACACGTTCGGAAAATGCAGTATTTCGGCTACATGAGAAACAAAAAGGTACACGTGTGTCCCGTCGACGCTGCCGCTCTATATTTGTTTAAGTTATTTCATGTCCGCCAAGAGCCTTTTCCGCTGTTTCAATACGGTATGATATTAAGTTCCTCCGAGGTCGGACCCGTACCAAATCTATCACGTACGAAATCCACAAAAAATCTATGAAATTCTATTTGAGCAGCTGGGACTTTCCTTCAGCAAAAAGACCCACATTAATCGGCAACAAGGCTTGAAAGCGCCGACATCGATATTTCCCAAACGCAAAGACATGGGAAGTGGGGGGGGACACGTCTAAAACCGTGTATGCAGCTCCACTTGCCAAAGAAGCCATGCGGGCATTGTCAGGTCACCCGGCTCGCTCTCGCTTGTTCTATCTGGATCGCGCATCAGCTGACCGCTAGAATTACAGCAACTTGTTTTTCTTAAGGTGGAAATTTGTCAAGATCAAATCTCAGAAGGTAAATGGGAAAAGAACCTAACCGCTCGTGAGTTTCTAGAACTGCTACAGTACCTCAGAATTGTGTTTCTTCAAGATTGCGCCTTTCTCTTTGATTTACTTCCTGGTTGAATCCGTAAACATAGTCTATTTGGTGATAAGTTCCAGGAATTTCGAATCACCACATTAGCTGGAGCTCCAAACCCGGTGAAAAATCAACTTCAAGTCGCGATGCCATTGCTCTCTGATCTCCTCATTACACAACATGCAGAAGTATTGAGTAATTCAGCAGCTCAACACAGTGAAATGGTGAAATTTTTGTCGAAAACTAACAATAACATCACCTCTTTATTAGGGGGTGAAATGACATTTCGCCTTATGCCAGTAGCGGCAGCGAGTGGAAGCAGTACCGCAGTTGACGGTGACACGGCCAGCGTACCTAAAGCAAACGAAAGCTCAAACTTTATCAGTGACTTAATTGAAACGCGGTCTTCCAATAACATACATCAGCATTCAATGAGTAGGAAGATCAACTCTGAGCATGAGCTTTGGGCGGAGTGGCACGAAGGACTGACCAATCATCCCTCAACCGAGTACCTAGAAGCCACGTACGGCAGAAAATGGCGACTGTCAGCAAAGGAGTCCAAGATTTTCTCTATACGCCTCTGCATCATCAAACACGTACGTACACTAGTGAAGCGCGGGTTATCTGTTGATTGTGCTCTAAACAAAGCTGATAATGAGCGTGGCAAAAAGAGCATCGATGCTTTCCAAGTATCTGAACAGCAAGAAAACGTACTAGATATTAGCTGCTGAATACACATCATTTAGTTTATGTTCTCAACTACACGTGTACTTGTCACCAATAACCAGCATACATGAGCTTTACTCGTCCATATAGTGTCAATCTAGTGCAAGTTGTCGGTGTCAATGACCAACTAGGCGCGACCTCATTCGCCATAGACGCTGTGGTGTCCTCTCTGTGAGACTGGAGACACTGACGCCGTGTCATGTTGTCGTAGTTGCTCTGAATACAGCTTTCAAGACGGGTCGGCTGCGTGGTGACACCACCAGCGGCTCGCTGGCCCACTGCCAGTGGAGGAAGGGAGACGAAGAACAGTGTAGACTTGGTATACAGCGTCTGAGTGTTGAACTGTGACGACCAATTGTAATGCCACTTTTGGGTCATGACCTTTATGATATCCAACAGGTAACATCTGGCTAAACTCTGATATTCTCGGGTATCAGGTCACAAGGTCACGACCTACTCGTGACTTTTTCTTTTTAACTTCAAAGTAAATGCAAAATCGTAATGGATTGTCCTTAATTCCGATCACCGGTAAACTAGTTTTGACTGGGACTTCGCATGTCGAATGCACAAGGTAATACTGAATTCAGAGTAATGTTCCCGGCTATTCAGGCAATCTCTTTTAGCCCAAAGATTAGGCCGTGTTCGAATAGGAGGTTTTATCCTTTTGAGGTTTTGTACCTAAGTTTTAGAAAAGTTTCAAATGCCTTTGAAATGCTTGTTTTTTTCCGAATTGGTGGTAGACTTGTTCTTCACCGAGCTGCTAAAAATAGGCAGAATAAATGAAATAGCTATTTTTGCAAAATCCCGTTTTAAGGCATTTTAATATGGTCATGTTAAAATCGGGCAGCCCTGAACTAATTTTGCGCAATTCCTAGCACTACTTTTTACTTGTTCTGTGGTGACTGCACAAGAAGAGCATGTGGTCCTATCACGTGAGCCTCAATGCGCATGGCAATCTGCAAAATCTCAAGACACCACCAACCGGCACTTGCAAGGTCTGTGCCCTGTATTACTCCACCGAAATCATCCTTACAGTCTTCGCCGTTTGCGCCAGTACGCTTGAAAAGGCCCCAAACAAACGAGTTCATCCATACATTTTCTTTTTGTGGCTCCACTTTCTTCCGCCCACGAGGATCTCGAACGAGTAAGTCCCCTTCTTGTCGTAGATATGACTTTGGATCGATACTTTTGTACAGCACCATGCATTGATCTGGGCCAAGATCCACAAAGATCACCAAGATGAACGCTCGCGTACGCACTTCAGAGTCTTCACGCTCCAGCGTGTGGTAATAAACAACTGTGTTGTCATCGAGACGCTGAGTAACGTGGAAGTGGGACTTCACGTCGCGTGGATACATGCTCGTTAGCGACTCTGGTTGCGAAAGGACTTGCCACGTCCCCTGTGATACTTCTTCCATTGCTTGACCATGAAAAACCTTTTCGAGAGAGAACATGAGCTTGTCAGGGAGCAGTTTGTGTCGGTCTCTCCAGCCAAACACGCTTGCTCCCGTTGTGAAGCAGGCTTTGCTCTGTCGGAAGTTCAAAACCTCCTCGAACGTTGCATTCGCAATATTGTTGCACTGCTCCAGAGTCAGTGGGTTCACTACAAGTATCGGATTGATGCGTTTATCCTCCTGAACCTGTCGAACCGCAGCAACAGCCTTATCGTGAGCTGAAGCCAACTGTGCGACCTGTTTCTCCACCATCGCATGCTCAGCCTCGAGTCGTCTTAACTCGACGTTCTCCTTAATCAACGCGCTCTTCATTTGAGCGAGTTGCACGTATGCTCTGTGTAGATTAGCATCAGTATCGTGTCGGTTTGCACCTCTTGAAGGCTGTGCATCTCGTTCGTGATGCACCGCTAGTAGTCGTTCGTACTCGGCTTCTAAGCTCGCAACTTAGTAGCGGAGATCACTCAGCGTGTTCTATCCGTGCAAGTTAGTCCATCGATTAGAGCCAACCATCCAGGAGACTCGAATTACGAAATTTCAGACATACTCGTACCAGTTTCTTGTAGTAGCAACGCTTAACGATAAGTCGGTTCTTAGCTCGCTGTTCTTCATCCAGCTTTTTGCTGGGAGTAGCGTCGTTCGGCAAGTCCATTGGCAAGTTAAAGCTGCAATGTGCGGTGCCACACACCTGGATTAGCTAACCCTATCGACGGACGACGGAGATTACTTTGCAAGAGCGTCAACGCCTGTGCCGAGCCCGATGAAAAATTTCGGCGCTGCGTGACGAAGGCCAGCCAGTCTCTGATGCCCACAATTGACAACCCCGTCGGCATGAGACAAATATTGACGCTCAACGCCAAGCTCGCCTTTAATCCACTTTGTGCCCCTTCGATTGACACGCTTCGAATGGATTCTCTCCTGAGCAAGGACAAGCGACTACACGTACAACCACATGCTCGACGCAGCGGTCGAGTCACGTTGCCATCGTTGAGGCTACCGGTAACTGTAACTTGCAATGTGACTGCACTGTGTTACTGGCCGCTTGAATTGACGCGCCGCGTTGGGTTGACGAACATCGACGTCATGCATTTACTCAGGTACGTTGTACCGTAATGATTGCACCTGCTGAATTGCTGAAGCTGGAACGTCTCGTCGAGAGTGGCACGTTTCAAAGCGATCCGCTTTTATACATGTAATAGAATCCATTCTACTGTTGAAGGCAACGGCATAACTTCGTCCTCCATGGCGGCATTGATTCAATGAATCACGGAATAGCTCGACGTCGCCGCGAGTGACGGAGATGTACATGCATCTGGACCAGCTCGGCTAGCAGTAAAGCTAGCAGTGATAGGCTAACTTGCAACCAGATTAAAGTCCACACAGTGGGAAGAGCTAGGCGAGGCGCATGTGCACTATTGATACACAGGACTCGGAGCGGCTCTACACTGCAAGTGCAAATATCCAACACAAAAAGCTGCGTAATTCGCAATGACGGTGTGTAAAGCATTATTAATATCTAGCAGTGTTGGCCAAAGGCAGAGCGAGTATTTCGAAAATGTCGTCTAAGTGCTGCTTTGGCGACACTGTCGCTGCGACAGTGGAGCGGGCTGTCAAGCTGCGTAGCATCGTCACAGTCCGATGAATAGACAACTGTAACATCCCACTGCTTTCACCGAGTTCAACAGCGTTGACCCAACAAAAAATCAACATAGAAGCTCAGTAACCTTGCCGATCTTTTACCACGCACTGTGCGTACAACGCTGAGCAAACTTGTACATGTACAGCGTATCCAACTGGCGGATTGCAGGATGTTTTGCCAGTATCGGTGAGCAAGTAAGACTTGTCATGTTGCAAGGAGCGGCCACTTCATGGTCCCCCCTCGTGTGTAGCGCTCATGGCTACATGGAGTGTGGTGTTGTCAGGTCGGGATCCCACCGTACTGTACACAACGCAGCAACACGGATGTGTGGCGAAAACGAAAGTTACTCGCGCCGGACGCGCGACAAGAATCGAGCGATCTCAACGATCAGAGCTAGTCATCGGGCCGATTGCACCCGCTAGCAATCCAGCAAGTCGAGCTGGACGCGATGGGGGGGGGGATCGGATAGTCTCATAGTCTCACAATTGAATCTGCCTCGTGGCAGTCACTTAGCTCACCTGCTCGCAGGTGTTGCTACTTACCTAGCGAAACTCACACGTCGGGCACCTACAACCCCGTGTACATCTCCTACACTTTGTTCCGACCTCAGACAGCGAATCGCGGATCTCTTGAATAACATCGGCGAGGATGACACCCAGCTGACTGGGAGTCCACAGTTGAAATTGGGTAGATCTATCTCCGCTCCTGAGAGTGGAGCAAGCGTCGACGAAGACCACGAGGCTGCAATGGCTATGATGTCCATGGTCGATGACGACGAGCACGCTGCGTCCTGTCCAGAAGACAAGCAGTCTCCGCGTCGCACTCAGACTACGCGGCTGCGATCGCTTTCCAGGTGCGCAGTGCGGGCGTTCTAGTGTCAAAGCTGTGAGCCTTACTGATTCATTTTGTTTTTTTCTACAAGAATCCAAGAGAAGGCGGCGATGAAGCGGTCACCACGAAGACTCTCTCCTTACGACACGCAGCAGCAGCTCATGACCATTAGGAACATCGTGAATCCGGGCGAGCCCACGGAGGCTAGTGGCTCCTCGCTCGACAGGCAAACCGGTGCAGTTGGCAAGAAACGGAGCACACGCTCGCTGTTTCCAGAGCTATCGGAATCCGACCGTCGTGCCAAGCAGAGACTTATCGTGAAGCGCTGCTATTACAAGAAGATCGTAAGTTCAACTGCAATTGTGGTGTCGACAAAGCCCAGGAGCTCACTCGCTGTGTGTTTGTCCACAGAACACGATCAAGTCGCTACGAGACGAGGCCAGCACCTTGGAACATCAGTTCCGCTCGGCTTTGCGAGCAATGCAGCAGGAGGACGAGGCTGCCAAAGCCGCAGGTCACGGAGATGACGTCAAGCTGCGTGAGCTGCTCATCGACACGCTGACAACCAAGGAGACGTTGCGTGAGGAAAATGTCCGTCTGCGCCGACTTGCTGACGAGTATTACATGAAGAACCAGGGGCGCCTTCGTCAGCTGCTGGACCCGGACCACAGAGGCTTGATCCTTTTCACTGCCGCTGTCAACGACGACTGAGCTATTCGCTTTTCAACACACATGCACTGGAAATACAGTGCTGTATAAACACACTGCGCTTCACAGAGAATGCGCTTTACATCTATAGCATATTATGGCGAGGAGGACACGGCCCCGCAGCGACAAACAAACCGCCTCGATTGACAGAGGTGGCAGACTAGCGCAGGCCTTCACATCGCACAAAGAAAGTAAATTATATAGAGCGAGCTAACTTGAAGCTAATAAACACCCGCGCAATGCAAGCGCACACAACGACATCTTGCTTGGTCTTCTTCGCTTATAATAAGGGTGCAGCTTCATGTACTGCTAGGGCAGCGACATGTGCGAGGGATACGCTTGCACGCCACATGCCGGCAGCAGGCCGCGTCATCTTCGAAACGCCGTCGCTGACTGGACCAGAATGCTCCCCTTAAGTCCGCGTGCATGCAGCGGTCCCACTAGCGAATCTGACCCGATCTTGCTAATCAACACGAATGGCCCCAACAAAGCTCAAGTTCGACGACCCGGAGGTCAAGAGGCAAGCGCTGGCAGGCCTGACCAAGACCATCCCCGTGGTCCCCTTCAAGGGCGTCGAGTTCTTTGATGTCGGCGGCCTGTTGGCCAACCCAGAGAAGCTGCAGTTGACGTTCGATCTGTTCGAGCACGCTGTGGCGCCTTTCATGGACCAGGTGGATGCCATCGGGTGTTTCGACGCGCGCGGCTTCCTGTTCGCACCATACCTGGGTGCGCTCTTCCAGAAGCGAGTCTTCATGTTGCGCAAGCCTGATAAGATGCCGAGTGTGAGCGACACTATCGAGTACTTCAAGGAGTACAAGGGCGACAACGGCGTGGGCGGCGACCACCTCAGCATCCAGACTTACGCCGTCAACAAGGGCGACCACGTGCTGCTAGTGGATGATCTGCTGGCCACAGGTGGCACCTGCGAGGCCGGCATTCGCCTTGTGCAACAGGCAGGAGCCTCTGTCAAGGCTTGCGTCTTCGTGGTGGAGATCGGTGTGCTGGACGGCCGTGGCCGCGCCATCAAGGCCAGCTCGGACGAGAAGACTCAGATCATCTCACTGCTCACGGAGAAGGATTTTTAGACTGGAGTTTAGACTGCTAAGTATGCTAACTACTACATCGATGGCGAGAGAGATACGATGTGTACATCAATTGAAGGCAAGAGGAACGTGGTGATGCATGTCATCCGTGACATCGGACTTGATAGACTTTTAGGGAACGGATTTAAAAGGATATTAGTACTAGCATTTATCACAAATGTCTTGTATCAAGACTCTTGTTATTAATAAGTTAAAATCCTGCAAAATCGTAAGCGCGATGTTGAGACGCACCCGTACTTATCAGAGAGTTTTACAGTTGAAGTTGCAGAACAGCTTTTCATTTTGCAATCTGTGCGCTGCCAGACGCAAGTCCTGTTCCTTTCATGCTGCGTCTGACCACCCGCCGAATCCCACGTGCGCAGCTCTCACGGGCGCTTGGTCTGCGCTTCTCCTCTCACGGCAAGGTCTACACAGACGCGGACGCCGCTGTGAAGGATATTCCGTCCGGATCCAAGCTGTACGTGCACGGCAGCGCCGTAACTACAGTAGCATTCCTACTCCATTGTACTGATTTCTGATGTAAATTATCGCAGTGTTGTGGGCGGCTTTGGTCTTTGTGGTATCCCGGAGAACAGTATCCAGGCGCTGGTCAAGCAGGGAGCCAAGGACTTGACGTGTGTGTCCAACAATGCTGGAGTGGACGACTTTGGACTGGGTTTGCTGTTACAAACTCGTCAGGTGGGGGCACACAAGGCTGTACTTGCGTATGTGTCTTGCAGTCGCTGACTCTTCTTTTCTGCAGATCAAGCGTATGATCTCGTCCTATGTCGGGGAGAATGCGCTTTTTGAGAAGCTTTATCTCACTGGAGAGCTGGAGGTGGAGCTCACACCGCAAGGAACACTGGCAGAGCGTATCCGTGCTGGAGGGTCCGGTATTCCAGCCTTCTACACGCCCACTGCGTTTGGAACTATCCTTCAGGTACGATATCCACGTGTTGGCTTTTGTCTTGGTCTAACTTGTGATCTTCTTGATAGGAAGGAGGGTTTGCCATTAAACTCAAGCCTGATGGGTCCATTGACATCCCCAGCGCACCACGTGAAGTCCGCCAGTTCAGTGGCCGCAAATACGTCATGGAAGAGGGGATCACTGGAGATTTCGCCCTTGTTAAGGCTTGGAAGGGAGACACCGACGGCAACTTGGTGTTCCGTGGCACGGCTCGCAACTTCAACGTGGATGCAGCCAAGGCTGGGCAGATCACGATCGCCGAAGTGGAGGAACTGGTGCAACCTGGAGAGATTCACCCAGGTAACCTCCAGTTGGAAAGAGAGACGTGCTATTTATTGTATCGTCACTAACAATGGCCTATTGCTGTCGATAGACGAGGTTCACTTGCCGAGTATCTACGTGCAGCGCATTTTCAAGGCCGAAAAGACCGAGAAACGCATCGAGAGACTCACTCTTGCCAATGCCAAGGTTAGCAACTTGAGTGTGTCTGACGTCATCCACTCAGTGCTAATACTACTCCTCTTTTGTTCTGACTGATAGAAATCACAACACAAAATCTCCCCGGATCGCGAGCGCATTATTCGGCGTGCGGCCAAGGAGCTTAAGGATGGAATGTATGTGAATCTAGGCATCGGGTTGCCAACGTTGGCGTCCAACTACGTCCCAGACGGAGTAAAAGTTGTCTTGCAAAGCGAAAACGGACTGCTGGGCATGGGTCCGTACCCGAACGAGGGCGAACAAGACCCGGATCTGATCAATGCCGGCAAGGAAACGGTGACTTTTCTGCCTGGTTCATCGACATTCTCCTCGTCCGAATCGTTCGCCATGATCCGCGGTGGTCACGTGCACTTGACGATTCTCGGTGCTCTGCAGGTCGCGGAGAACGGAGATCTGGCGAACTGGATTATCCCAGGCAAGATGGTCAAGGGAATGGGCGGCGCGATGGATCTCGTGGGCAGCGGCAACCGTGTCGTGGTCACGATGGAGCACAACGCCAAGGCAGGAGCGAAAAAAATCCTTAAGCGCTGTTCGCTCCCGCTTACGGGCAAGAGTGTGGTAAACACCATAATCACAGAACTGGGTGTGTTCGACGTGGTGCCAGGCAAGGGGCTCGTGTTGGTGGAGATCGCACCCACGACCACGGTGGACGACATTCGTGAGCGTACGGAGGCATCGTTCACGGTTGCGCATGATCTCAAGACGATGGATTGAGGGGGCAATTGAAACCTACTAAACTAGGCTAATGAGAGTGTACCGGTATCTACAATCCGATTTGTTTTTCTTCGAAACCCAAAACCTATGAAAGTTTTGGTAGTGGTCTTATTGTGGTTAAAACCAGTAGCCCTAAGTTTTTTTTTAAACGTACCGGTGATCGACTTTGGCGCTGCAGTTTTCTTAAAAAAAGATAATAAAAATAGTATTTGTAATGGATAGGCGAATAATAATATCTAACCTGCATACATACGTACTTTCACCCAGAATTGTATTGGGCACAGATTGGATGGCTTACATGCACAGTACTTAGTAGCACAGTACCGGTGTTCTAGATAAATGTCCTTGAAGCATGTTTTCAAACAGACCTTGATTCAAGATTCTTGAAATATCGGTTATTATAGAACCTTAAAAAAACACTGAGCCCCGTTCCATTTTACAATTTGACGCGTACTATACAGTACTGTACGCGAATGGCGCTTGTCAAAATCTACAACTGCACTACACTATCGACACTCTTAAGCGTGTGGCCTCATATTTACCATACGTTTGTACGTCAAAAAATGCCGTTTCTATAGATCACAGCTCATGGTACTTGTGTGCGAGACAGGCCCTCCGAAAATTGGACTGGATCGGTCGCGTCACGCGATCTGCACGCGACTCGCGTGCAGATTTCGTGTACATGTACAGATTCCGCCTACATGACATGGGTTGAAATTGTCTCAGTGAAACCAAGATGGTTTATTTTAGGTCAACCAAGAAATCTGGGCCGACAGAAGTGAGAATCTGTCAAAATCTGTCGGGCCAAGATTGGCCGTTCTACCCGAAATCTGTCCGATTTTGGGGGCGACAAATTCTGTTGCGCTCTCCTGACAGATCCAAAACAAATTAAATGCAATTCCGTATATTGCAATTATTTCTAGGTGATTTTGATGCAGACTTCGAGCTGGTGCAGCTATGCGATCACAAAAAAACGCTGTAGATGTTTGCTTTTGAGGTTAAAATAGGGCGTTGGTTCTTCGGGAATGACGTGGTTTAATCATGATGTTATACTGTAGTTGAAAAATGTACATGTATTGGAGTTCAGAGCTGTAAGTGATGCGTTGTCTCTTCAATATTTTAATGAAAGGCCTGGATCGAGACGATTACACTGCTTGTCAAGAAATCTTGTCAACCTACCCAATGGTACATGTTACGGTTGCAAGCAAAACGAAAGTCCGGTGTACGGTTGGCAAATTTGCACAATGTTCGTTCCCTAGCAACAGATTGAATTTCGTCGCCAAATGGAGCAACGGTGCCTCTCCAGCAATGCGCTCCTTTGGAAACGGGAAAGCATGCATCTCATTCCGCAACTTGCCGTCATCAGCGATGGTCCGAGTCTTCTCTGCGACCGTCGCACTGCTTTGTGTGCTTTCAAATGCCCCCACATCGACTTTTGCGCGCACAGGTGTCGTGTGTACCAAGATTGGCAGTGTTGTCTCCGCGGCAACAAGATTGTGTCTCTGTGAACCATGTCACATGTTTGCGAATTCAAGAAGAAGTCTCTGTCTTGCGGCTTAATTGAGCGCCAGGGCCTCGATCTATCGGACGGATCAAACATGAAGGTAGACCAACCTTTGCTCGCACCGACGGATTGGCTCCTTACCGAATCAGAGATAACTGCATCGCGTGGTGGTTCACCTCGAAGCGACTTGTCCACTTTCACGACGGGAAATGATGTGAAAACGTACACAGTTACAAAAGAATTCTTCGACGCGGCGTTTAATGATCTCTCGTCTACCAAGACGGGAGACCGAGTGATGCTGACGGGTTGGGGTACCGACCTCATTCCTTTCCAACCCAACGTTGACGGCGGAAAAAAGTCGCAATTACACGACGTGGTCTCCGGTGTGATACAACGAGGTGGCAGTTTCCACGCTTTGGTGTGGGCCAATCTGTTGGAGAAATCCCAGAACATCAAGGTACGCAACGACATTAACGCCATCCCAGCATCACCGACAGGTGATAAACCTCTTTTTGTCTTCGATGATCGCACACGTGTCGTTACATCTTCACACCACCAGAAAAATTTGATCATCGCGTCTAACACTTCGACGGGGATTGATGAACAGCCTGTGGCGTTTGTCGGTGGCATTGACATCACATCGGATCGTTGGGATACCATCTCCCATAATGAGTCCGTTCTCCGTGAGGCTACAGGGGTCAGTGGCGCCTACAAAGGCTGGTTGGATGGGCATGTTCGAATTCACGGACCTGCCGCAAAAGATGTGGCTGCAAACTTCCTCGCTCGTTGGAACTCCGACTACAAACCGACACAAAGTCTTGCTCACGACCTGCTGGACTTTGAAAACCCGTCATACTCCGACTTAGCGCCTCTGAACTACGCAAGCAGCAAGACGAGCTCGACTCTAGGCCGCCAGAGCGTGCAGATTGTTCGTACTTTCAGTTGTCAGTACAAACGCTACAACGAGTTTGCGCCACGTGGTGAGAACTCGCTGTTCCAAGCACGCATCAAGGCGCTGAAGAATGCCAAAAATTTCATCTATATCGAAGATCAGTACTTTATCCTCGTGCCGGAGTTGCTTAACGCGCTTCTAGAAGTGATGCCGACAATCCAGCGACTTATTGTGGTCGCTCAGCGTCCTGTAGGGGAATCGAAAGCCACCGGATATGAGAAATATTTGTTCGATATGATCGCTCCTATCCAAAAACTGTATCCGAACAAATTGCAGATCTTCTCGACCAAGAAGGAGTTGAATCTCTACATCCACTCCAAGGTCGTGATCATCGACGACGTGTACCTATCGGTTGGCTCAGCAAATTGGAATCGTCGTAGCATGACCTCAGATTCGGAGTTGGGTGCAAACATCATCGATGACGAGACGGTACAATCTCCAGATGGAACTACGGTGCTGAAGGCAGCGCGCGACTTTCGAATCCGCAAATTCCAAGAGATGACGGGTCTGAGCTACGAGAAGCTAAACGCCATGACGTTTATTGAGGCTGCGAACCAGTTTGATGAGGCTGCTGTTGGCAAATCGAGCATCATTGAGCCGTACCAAGTCAAGGAGCAGGCGTATTTTACTGCCGTTAACGAGGTTGTTCGAAAAACGGTAGACCCACAGGACACCTGCATGTAGCTGTTCCAGAACACCGCGTTTAACAGTGCACGTATCCAAATAGACAACATTAATAATTTTTCCTGCTCCCCGTGTGCTGCGGTCACGTACGGACAGGATTAATTCGGGGCGTCTGGTGTATGTTACTTAACTGTAGCGCATACAAACTTCAAATGAATGGCCTTATAGGATCATCATTTCGATTCCCAAGCGGGTAAAATCGACGGATTTATCAAATCAAGCAGGAAATACCAACAGCATAGGAACGTTCACTATTAGTTTATTGGTTCCTCGCAAATATCCGAGCGCACGCAACATTACACTGTCGATCGTATGTACAATATCATCTGTGACTTGCATCACCAGAGCAACTCGATCAGCGCTACAGCACTTGCAAGGATCCGCAAAGAGATAATGTACATTTAGGTTGATGATGAAAATGGTCGGGTAGCATGCTATCCCATGGCTATTAATTTTATGTATTTTAGTATGTCATTCATCGTGGCGATTGGCTTTGCTCAACCTGCAACTTCAGATCTTCTTTCTGCACTCCTTGAACGGCGGCCTGCACCCATAATCAGTGCTGGTAGTATGTAGTGCAGCGTGATGGAATCTATTCAACACAACGTGAGAGCTACGTAATAAAAAGGTGTTAATATCCTCTGAGCAAGCCCAAAGTTTCGCTTACTTTGAGTCATCAAGTTTCTTCTTGAGTGCGAGGACACGATTGTCGTAAGTAAAGTCTTCCTGCCGCGCATTCTCCAGGTAGCACAAGCCGTACTCGTCCCACCATTTTTTGGCAGCTTGTCGTTCACTCTCGATCTGTGCAGTAAGATTGGCCTGCTTCGAGACGTAGTCGACCTCCTTCTCGTTTCCTTTGGATGCCATTTCCATTTCCAACCAAAAGCAAAAGTACCTCAACTGCCAACCGAGCCCATCGCGTTCTATTCTTATCGACCATCGTCTTCCATGCCTGATTTATTAATAGCTTACAGCGGTTCGCTCAAATATTTTCGTAGCTCTAGTTGTCCTAAACGCGATGGCCAAGCGGTTTAGTTCTCGCAACACTTCGGTCATAAAATCATAACAATCATATAACAATCAGCAAACCAAGCAAATGCAGTTATGAGGACTTTAGCAGCATCTTTTCGCAAGTAGCATGAATAGCTCTTCCGCAATGTCGCTGCTTGGTACAAGGACGCACAGGAGTCTGAGACATCCGCGGATAAGGTCACGAAGAGAGAGCTACATGAACTATAATACATGTACCTACCCGTCGTTTTACTGGGATAGCCAAAAAGCCCGAATCGTATTACATGTAGCTATGATATTTGCAATTCGCTATTATAGCTCTGCCATATTGCTTTGTGTCCTAAAACCGCGGAGTAAATATTTATTCATTTACTTAATATTTTTGGCCAATACGACCAAATTCAGATTGAAGCCCAGAATATATAGGATTTCAACTGCATTTTGTAAAATTTCCTCAATAATAAAGTCAAACCTTTCACGCCAAACCGACAAAGCAGCTCGTTTTACTGCACTCTCAAATGCTGCACTGCAACTCGACATCAACCATGACCTCCCTGCAGTAATCATCTTGATGGAGCTCGCTGATGATTCTTGAAATTACATATCTAACCCTAAAGTGATGTTGAAGTAAAACGTCGCTGTTAATGGAAACTGCGTACTCAAAACAACATACGTGCAGATGTACCTCTTCTCCTTTTTCATAGTGACGTGTACATGCACACTGACAAATAATAACTACTGAGGAATGCCGAGTACAAATTTCTGGACGAGGAAGACAGAATGCTAGTGCAGATAGCACGAGATATTGCGGGGCAAGGCGCTGGACGCATTACGTGGATGACTGTAGCACGGAAAATGAATTCGCTAAAGCGAACCTTCGTTACAGATCTGTCCAAGCTCCCACCTTTGTTTTACAGCCCCATACGATCCTCTCGTGGTCGCAGAAGAACTCGTGCCCATCTACTACGCCAGTCCCGTACGTGTGATTACCATCGCACTCAGCAGGATAATACTCACATCCATCGCGAAGAATGGACACTCGGGCATCAAGATACGCGGAATCTTTTTTAACATTTGCTAGTGCTGATGGAGCGGGAGACCAGGACTTAAATCATAAACATAAATCTTCATTTGTAGATACAACATCGGCAGTATTGGACGTGATTGCAGCTTCGGGATTCGGTGGGGTCGCGGCATCGAATACTTTCACTGGTTCTACTCTAGCAACTTTAGATACAATGACAATGTCAATGTGTGGAGATGGGAATGTTATGTGCTTTGTCGAAGCTAGGTCAAGATCGTTTGACAGTCCCAGACGAATTTCAAGCCTTGACTGCAACGTTTGAGGACGTGTTGCGACAGGAGATTGTATATCCGCCTAGTTCGCCTCATTTGAATGTTGGTGAGTTATTACCCAGTGATGTTTCCGCACTAATTGGTGCAGTAGATGGCATTAGGTCTATTCAAGCTGCGGATGCTTTCATGCTCTGGGCTGGGTAACGTATTGGATCCGTTCGTTCTGTCAAAACCTGTTCGAGCAAGTATTGGAATCGAGATACGACGTGACTTGGTTGATCGTTGCAACGGAAATCTAGTTAAGCATTCCCTGCAGCTCTCGACACTGCAAAATGTCGAGGTGTACGCTGAAGAAGTGAGGGACATTGAGCTTTCGATGATACATCCATTTTCAATAATATTTGTGAATAACCTGAGCTTTAAGCCTACCGCCACAAATCACATCACATATGAGCCTTTTGTTCATGCCGAACGCCTGGCACGCTGCACTCACAAGTGAGATTTGCCCCTGACATCATTGCATCTGCCCGAACGCTTATGCGGCCGTTGGCAACTGCATTCTGTTGTAGAGGTTGCTGCGAGCTGGACGTGAAGACACGTTCCTGTATATCTGTATACTGAGCAGAAATAGACATGGAAGCATTTGATTATGAATTACGTCCACCAACTAGACAGTAGTATCATGGTTTTCCTCTATGTAATCTGTTTGAGATATTCTCCCATCTTCTTCGGCCTTATGAATTTGCTGAACAATGAAACCTTTGTTTTCAAGTTGCCTTTAGCTGAGAAAAGATCGTACATCAAGTAAAACTTGTGGTACCTTCCCACAAGTTCATGTTGGCTGCTGGCAGACGTACGACCTGAAAGCGGTGGTGTGCACGATTTGGCACAGACGAACGCGATGTAGCGTACAGTGATGGGTAACAAAGGTGGGAAACCGGTCTTTCCACCCGCACACTACGCGATGCCGGCGCTCCTTCTTCTTGTCAAGAAGCCGCTTCGATTTCAGCGCAACACAAGTTTTTTGTGGGCTACTCATAGCTTGATGTACTTCCACGCCGCAATGTCACATAGATGCTCCTTTGATTGCCGTTACAACGCTCTCTCCATCTCGGTGTGAGTAGAACATCCTGCTGTCGCTAGGCGCTTCCATCCATTTGCCTGAAATGAATTCTTGTGCAAGTTGTGCAACGAAAGACTGGTGCGGATAGCGATCCTAGCTCATATCGATAGTCAGCCTTCTTGACATGTAGGCATTTACACAGATAACATCGACGATCGCCATACCAAGTGTTTTATACCACTTCTTCGATGTGTGACCATCTGCCAGCGAAAAGCGTCTGCGCAGTTGACCCAGGCGCTCGACGCCTTGCATGTTTGCTTTGAAATAAGCTACACAGGCTGGAGCATTGAACGGACTTCCAATTTTGCATGTATGTGCTTTCTCAGATGACTTATCAGCATTTGAAATCATTCTTACTACCGCACTGTCGTACCAAGATACTGCAACCATCTCATGGCCGACCGATACTCCTTGCCGATGTTGAATTGTCAGTGCGACCAAGCTGCGGGTGAACGCTTGCGATAGCACAGAACACAGATTCTCAGGGATAGTTGGTGTGTAGGATGATAGACTATATGGTTGGTAGATGAAGAGTTTCTCTGGACACCCCAAGTCCGGACAAGAAAGCTCTCCTCACTTTTGCTTTTGCTAAGTACCTAAGAGGCAACAACTTCAGGGAGAACAGCCACCTCCCCTCGCCTGCGTCTTCCACTTCAAGTGCCTTCTCAGTTCAATAGGTTTTGAGCCCAAGACCCCCGACGCTGAACTACGCAACAATGAAGTGGAACTCGGATATGAACTTCAATGGGAAGAACTATGCCCCCTGGAAGGCTCGCATCAAGACACTGCTCCAAGCCAAGCGTCTCTGGGGCATAGTGACTCGCACGGAGCTCCCTCCGCGTCGGGATGCCCGTCCTGACGTCGTCGACTCGTTTTGGAGCCGGGAGCATGAAGCGACCGCGTTTCTCATGACAACGCTGTCGGATGAAATGGTGATTGCGGTGAGCAACAAGACCTGCGCGTACGAGATATTTGAGCTGCTGGAGAAAACGTACGAGCCGCGAAACTGGGGAAGTTTGTGTGCTCTTCGTGAGCAATTTGTGACCTTGAAGTACAAGGATGGCAAAGACATGCTGCCACACATCAACGAGCTGAAGACACTAGCCGGACGGCTGGCCAACCAAGGCAAACCCGTTGATGACACGGAGAAAGTTTGTCAGCTACTCAGCAGTCTGCCAAGATCATGGGACGCATTTAAGAGCATGTACTACATCCAAGAGTCACCGATATCTTGAAGCTCGATGGAAACCAATGTGATGGCAGAA